CAAAAATCAAAGTTTAATCCGTACTCTTAGAAAACCCCACAGCCGCGGCGCATGGGGAGGTGCGTGGTGCGCCGCGATTGCGCAAATCCTGCTGCCTGATAGATGTTGAGCTCTCTGGATTTCTCCACTAATGCCCCGTATGGCACGTCGTCCCATGCGGTGCGCCTGTGCAAATTTTATAGAGCCAATGTCCTATTTCGGCTAGGGAAATGTAGTTTCATTTGGGCCCAACCCTACTTGGTATAAATACATGGAAAAACGTTATTTTCTGGACTTCTGACATAATTTAGACCTAAGGAAGCTAAGGAGGAGTTGTAAGAGCAAAAGCACAAGGATTTCATCATTCCTTCCTCACTCAAGACCCGAGTTTGGATCGAATTTATGATTTCCTATATTTTAATTATATTTGTGATGAATTTGTCCATGTCTATGGAGTAGTTCCCTTTAGGGTTTGATGGATTTGGTGTATTGATGATTGTTTGTGGATTATAACTCTAGTTTTATGTATTGAAGTATTTTTGGATGATTTAATTGTTGCATCTATACTCACTAGTTCATTTAATCGAGAGAGGCATAACTTGTGATATCCTTGCATTATATTGTTGGTTGAGTTCATTAATTCTTCTAAGTAATTGAAATAGGCTAGTTGAATCATTTATTAAACCTAGTTAGGAGAATAATCGAAAGATGTTTTCCTAAAGACCAATCCACTACGCATTCTGGTATATCTTCACGTGCTTAAATTAGGTCATCTCGTGAGGTTAAGTCTTAATCGAGAGAGGAGATTTTGCTGAACATTTGGACTAATAATTGAGTAAATTTGAGAGACTCACTTGAACATTAGAAGTGAATCATCTAGAGTTAGATCCCGAACAATTATCTTGCACCTATCCTATCAAAATCCTATTTTCTCCTACTGATAACCTTCTTTGCTTATTCCTTGTTTCGATTGTCATTGGTCAATAACTATAGATTGTTAGTTAATTTTAGTTAGACATCTTATAAACCTCAACTGTTGATCATCTTGGATAGAAATCAAGCTAGAAACTACGAGAATAATGTTTAAATCCAATCACTATGGATACGATATTATACTATCGAATTTAACGAGAACAAAACACACACTTAAATTCTGCTCGCTAATCAAATATAGTATAGTATAATATCGTATCCACAAGGATTGTATTTAAATAGTATTCTCATAGTTTCTAGCTTGATTGCTATCCAAGATGATCAACATTTGAGATTTATAATATGTCTAACTAAAATTAACTAACAATCTATAGCTATTGACTAATGACAATCGAAACAAGGAATAAGCAAAGAAGGTTATCAGTGGGAGAAAATAGGATTTTGATAAGATAGGTGCAAGATAATTGTTCGAGATCTAACTCTAGATAATTCACTTCTAATGTTCAAGCGAGTCTCTCGAATTCACTCAATTATTAGTCCAAACGTTCAGCAAAAACTCCTCTCTCGATTACGTCTTAATTATGCCCAGATACTCCTCAACAAAATGGGGTGGCTGAACGAAAATATCGCCACATAATTAAAATGGTGCGTACCATCCTTACGGATGCTCATTTTCCATCTCAATTTTGGGTTGATGCTGCTTTTTACGTTGTTTATACTATTAATAGATTGCCTAATCCCATTTTGAAAGGCCTTTCTCCATTTGAAAAGCTTTTTCATACACCTCCTGACTACAATTTTCTTCGAATTTTTGGTTGTGAATGTTTTCCAAATATATCTGCTCAAGTTTCTCATAAGCTTCAGCCGCGTTCTATCCAATGTATTTTCCTAGGTTATGCTTCTAATTATAAAGGATATCGTTTCCTAGATCCTACATCTGGTCGTGTTTATATCAGTCGACATGTTGTCTTTCATGAATTAGTTTTTCCATATCCTAAATTATCTCGTCCCTCTCCCGTCCCTTCATCCAATGGCTCTTTTGAGATTCTTGTAGTTACTGCTCCTTTATCCCCTTTGCAGCTAGATACCCAATCTATGTCAAGTATGTCTCCTTCTAAGTCGTCTTCTCCACCTCCCTCAAGAGTTTCTTCCCCGTGCTCTACATCCAGCATTACGGATCACGTGTCCATCACAAGTTCTTCTACTGAGTGTTGCTCTAATGTTCTCTCTTTTTCTGCACTTATCGTTCTTTCTTCATCTGCATCTACCTCAGTGCCAACTAGCACTGCTTCTCTTCCTACTTCTATGCCTCCTGCTCATTCAATACACACTCGCTCAAAGTTTGGTATTTCGAAACCAAAATGAATATTTTCTTTGAACACTATTATTCAAGAAATTGAACCCTCTTGTTTTTCTCAGGCAGTAAAAAGTCCGAAGTGGCAGCAGGCCATGGAAGATGAGTTTAATGCACTTTTAGCAAATAATACTTGGGTTCTTGTTCCTTTTCAACCTCACATGAACTTAGTTTGTTGTAAATGGGTTTATCGTATTAAATATAATTCGGATGGGTCATTTGAGCGATACAAGGCACGACTTGTAGCACAGAGATTTCATCAGCAACCTGGCATTGATTATCATGAAACTTTTAGTCCTGTTATTCATGCTACCACTATTCGTATTGTCCTCTCTTGTTGTTTCTTTTTCTTGGCCTATTTGTCAACTTGATGTTAAAAATACTTTTCTACATGGTGTTCTTAATGAGGAAGTCTTTATGAAACAACCTCCAGGCTTTACTCATCCTGATTATCCTCGTCGTGTTTGTAAGCTAACCAAAGCGCTCTATGGTTTGAAGCAGGCGCCACGTGCTTTTAACACTAAAATACAAACCAGCGTATCGTATTCTTTTCCTAATCCAAGAAGGACATGATCAATGAAATCCTGGGGAGAAACTGGAGAATTTATGGCTGCAAGTGAATTAGCCAATTGTTTTGCCTCTCTCAAATATTGATCAATTGACATAGATATCGTCTTCTTCAAAGTAGTGAGTTGTCTCTTAAGTTCAATTGCTTTAGCTTGGCTAGCATCCATATATCTACGGTGTAAGGAAAGCCAAATATCACGTGAAGATGGTAAAAGATGGACGTCGACAATAGCTTCACGCGACAAGGTCGCAAAGATCCAAGAACGGATGCTTTGATCAATTCGAACCCACGAGCGGTAGCTTGGATTCGGTTGTTGCGAACCAGTAGTGTTGCAAAGAAGCGGGGGTGGATCAGGGATAAAACCATCAACAAAACCAAGCAAATCATGAGATATGAGAAGGGAAGTGAACTGAGTACGCCATGTGAGATATTCTTCAACAGACTGTAACTTAATTGTTACCAGATTGGTGACATTAGGCGCTGCTAGTGCAGCAAAAGAGTGAAAATTTGAGGCAGTAGTTGAGTCCAACGAACCAGCACATGGAAATATAGGTGGCGCAGTAGCAGCAGTAGGACATGGCAACAAGCTAGGAGATGGGAAATTGCTTGGTACTGATGAGGCCACGGAAGAAAGTGACGACATAAGAGGAGGAAACGATAAAGGGGGAGGTGAGAAAGCAGCAGTAAGGCTTGAGGATGGAATAGTGTCATCAGGTTTGGATAGAGGAATAGAAGTATAGGGTGAAGATGATGCCATGGTAAAGAAAATTGGTGTGGGAAAGCACTGGATGTGTGAGAAAGGTTTAGAAGAAAATTCCAACAATGTTGATTATGGTGTATGATGAGTTCCGTGACTGTTTAGAAGAAGGAATTAGAGAGGATTTTGCTGGCTAATCTGATACCATGATAGATTTCATGAAATGACTCAACAAATAGAGAGCCAGTATTACTTGTATTTATATGATATGGATACATACATAATGATAAGTATATCACCTACAAAGATAAGTATTAAGAGTCCATCACATACATGGGATAATTACAAATATAAGAAAAATTCTTAGAGTCCTAATAAGAGGATTATCTTGGGAGGAATATCTGTAATTGGTTAAATACAACTAACTACTCTAACTTTTGATATTTACAAAGTAGACCCTTAGCTATGTAATATCATCTCCAACAAGTTTTCCCTTCCATTTTCACTTGAAATATTGGCAGATTGCTATTTAACAAACGTCTCAATCGGTCCAGCAACTTTTTGGACCAGACAAAAATGACAATGAGATCTTGGTTTGCTTCTTGGGAGTATTAATGTGAAATTCTAAAAGCTATGAATTATCCCGAATCTAACCACTTACATGTCTCGTGTTTATTTATACTGATGATAAGAGACGAGGGTCCAACTGTTTGTGTTAATTCTTTCAGTACTTGTAGCATCTCGAACTGACTAATTCCTTGAACGAACAAAACGAAGAAATAAATTTTGAAATTTATCTTTAACTATAAAAGTTAAAGATCTAATGCAAAATAAGTCATAATTTTATACTCTAGTACGGAAGTTACAGTCAGATTTTTCATGTCAAGATAGCAAATAAGAATTTCCAGAAACCAGCCAAAACACAAAAAGCTATACAAGAAGATTCTTGAAGACCAAAAGGCAAAAATCCTTTAGGAAAAGCAACAAAATAAAGGATAATATATAAGGGGAGGGCGCAAGATCAGAGGTAATAACAAACAAATACTACTAGTAATTAAATTTAATTCTAATGTTACCACTACAATTAGTGTCATGCAGAAACAGCTTCAAATTCAAATTCTCAACAACACCAAAATTAATCACTAGGAGGGGAGGGGGACATAAAACAAGAAGTCAATACCCGAACCATACCCTTGTTAGCTGGTGAGAGAGGCCCCATCACTATTATTTCAGCACAAAAAACTTTAAATATTCTTTCCTTGGGGTCTCTCACCATTCAGCAAGGATCTCACCTGGTTCGTTCTTGACTTCCCAAAATCTTAGAATCTTATCACAAAACATATTCAAGAAACACACACAATCATTTCACTGGATTTACCCACCTACCTAACAACTACTTTCTGACTCTTCTCATTTATTTACTCGGGCCCAGCCATGCACATGCACAGGATATAACCTTCATNCAACCTTTTCCAAAATAAAATATTGGAAATTTTGTTAAAGGGAGGTTTTGGGTAATTAGGAATTTGAGCTAATTTCATCTGCTTGCTTTGGTTCTAGTTGCTGTTGCTGTGTTTGTAGTTGTGGTGACGGTACTGTTATCGCTGGCTCGGGGTAGAAAGCGGAAAGTGCAGCAGTGATTTGTTGTACGGTGTTGCATAAGTGGTGGTTAATGGCAGTGACGCTAGAAAGGTTGAGCTTTGCAGTTGGAATTGTGCTGGCGAGGACTTGTAATCCAACAGTGAGCAGGCAGCCTCCAGATCCAGATTCTTGGATTGACAAGTTCCTCTTCTCCGCAGATTGTGTGCCTGAATTAGCTTCACTAGGACTAATGTTGGTGTCTAAGTTATTGATTTGTCCCACTGGTGTTACAACAAAGCCTAAGGGAAGAAGAGGAATGCACGATGGGTCCTCGCCGTTCATGGCTAGCTGGATGGCATCCACATCGACGGTGGTGTAGACCACAAGGCTGCCGGAATCATCCGTGCAGCTCTCCTGCAGCATCAGCTCTACGCTCTGGGATGAGTTGCTAGCCACCTGCATCAATCCAAAAATAATTTAAGTCAAGTAGGAAATGTTTCAAACTGGCCAACAAAAGATATTAGGATATACATCTTGAAATATTTTTGAAATTGGCACAGTTTGTGCAATTACTAACATATGATGATAAATTATTACTAGGGGATGTAGAAATTTAACAAAACTTGTAACACGATTACTAGAAGAGAAGTAAGCGAGAGAGTACTAATCCAAAGTCCGATACGTACTCAAGAGAACTTAATTAATTTTGGGCATATATAAGCCTAGCCTGTTGATCAGATTGTATTTATTTTTCATGATAATGAAAAGCTAATTAATATGTGCAATCTATAAGTACCAAACCTTATTCAGGCAATAGCTAGTAATTTCCCAACAAGGACTGCCGCTATTAGTAGTCTACTTATGATATAAATATATTAAAAGTGGTCATTAAATTTGTTAATTCCTATATTAAAGTTTGCGGCTTATGGTGCATAAGAATCATCCTGTTGATCTGAAACGAACTTAAAAGGGATCTTACATTAATGCGAAGAAGAGAAATGCAATTTCCTGGATGAGAGCCATTTGCAATGTGAGCCACCTCATGCAGTGAGTTGCCATTTGAAAGAACATCCAACTGCATTATTAGATATTGTACAATTCAAAATTAAACCAGCTTCTCAGACCACAAATACTTTATTGGGTGAAAATTGGGAATTCTTTTTAATGCAAACCTGAGCTCTTCGACGTTCATCCCTCAAGAGATCAAAGACCTGGAAATGATTATATGGAATCCAAGTAGTTGAAACTGCGCAAAGGATTAGTCCATTGGGTTGGCCTGGTTCTGTGACTTTTCTGGTAGTAATTCGAACAGTGTCCTCAAGAGAATCAGAAAGAGCTGTCCATGATTGTCCACAAGAGGTGCTAATATTCATACAGAAGGTTTTGATCATCCTCTGAGCCAGATTCATCAAACTCTTTCGCGCTTCTGGAGATGGTATCACTGCAAAAAGCAATTTCCAAACAATACAAATCTGTTGTATAATTGCCAGAAATTAAACGATATTATTAGATGTAGAGAAGAAATACCTCCAAGGTCAGATATGTTTCGTGCCATAAGGCTAGCTAGCCTTTCGCATTGTCTCTGCAAGATTCCTAACCATCGTTGTGCTCCGAATGCCATACCACTACTCACATACTGATTGAATATCTGATTCACTGGATTCTCCTCAACCTCAGCCTGTTCAACCCATGTAACCTGGAAAAAAAAAATAACTCTAGTTATTCATCTTACTTCAATAATTGTTAATGTGCTAATGATTCAACCATAGCATAAAGGAAGGGGAAAAGCACAAGAATTACCCTAGAGTAGCCATTGGGCATGTCTTGAATGATGCAGCCAGAAAGTCTTCTTTTGAAATAAGAAAAAGGAGCAGGGAAATTGTTGTGAAGACTGTCAAGAGGAAAATCAACAATTGCCCAAGTCCCTTCTTCCACATTCTGCTGGCAATAACGGAGGAAATAACATTCTCGTGTAGGCACTAAGGGTGTGAGAGCTTGCATTTCCATAAACATCTGAAACAAAAAGAAAATTAAGCAGAATTCCAACATTTATAAACTATAAAGATAATGAAGACATGGAAAGTTCTTATTTTTTCTTATTTATAAAGGTACTTACTAGTTGAAGAGAACCACTTGCATGTCCAGATACTCCTGAGGTCACAACTTGAATAGTTTTGGCTCTAGAAATTATAGATGGGAAAAGTTCTATCCATTTATTCTGGAAAAAGAAAATAGGTAAACATGACAGTATTACTATAGCTGAAATGATATATGGTAATTAAATAAATATCAGGCTTCAATTTTGCAACCTTCACTTCTATTAAATTGATAACAGCGATAGGAAACAGATTTAAATTCTATGCACGGGTAAAAGATATTCATACAATCAGGTTATTTATGAAGTTAAAACCAATAAATCTCAATAACCAATCAGCTATATATATAAATTACTTACTGCATCTAAGAGTGCATCAACTAGAGTGATGCTATTCATAATAACAACAGCACTGCTGCGAGTTGCTTCAATTCTGAGCTCATTGCTATTCTGTTTAATCCCAACAGGCCAAGGAAACATTCTTGAGTATTCTTCCACATTGAGAACTTCTTTTCCAGAATCAGTAGTACGAATCCAGAGTGGGTCAGCAGCCTGGCACATCTTTACTAGTTCATCCATTGACGAAAGACCCAGTTCCATTGCAATAGATTTTTCTTCTTCCAAGATAATTGGACCACCACCAGAAAATTGGGAATTGTTTTCAGGCATGAATGGAACAGGAACCATATCGGCACTGCAATTCGCCATTGGCTCCTCGAATTTCCTTGAAAAATTAATGGACATGTCTAATTCCAACGGAGGAGGAAGAAGAGGAGTTGTTGGTCCTATTCCTTGCATTGGCCCCCGACCATTATATTGTGAAACAAGACAGCATACACGCTCAAACTGTTCAAGAATTGAAGAGCAATTGTGCATAAGTTTACTATTAATATTAATGTATGGATACAAGAATTTAACGAAATAAACTAGTCATTGTTAATTCAGTTTCATTAACCAAAGGATTTAACTCGTATTAGTGTAATTTTATCTGTTGTAGTTTGTTTTATTTTTCAAGTAACTAGTTATACTAGCTACGTTTCTATAAACTCTTAAGCAAATAGTGAGGACCTAATCCGTTATTAAAGTAATACTTATTTAATTGCTGAATTATTGATCGGCCTTTTGTTTTTACCTCCTTAGGCTAGTGCTGCCAATGAACATGAAATTGATCATTTACGATTTTCTTTTTCTTTTTAATCATTTACTACTATTTTCGTCATATGTCAGTATACATATTGCATCATTCATTCACTTGTTTATGTTAAAGAATTGAAAATAATATATCCTAGATATGCTGAATCGTTTCTGGTTCTTTTATCTTCACTTGGTTACTTGAAATTAATTTTGGCAATTAACAAAAAGTTAGGAATATAGTAAGAGCTGTAGACATCTCCATGAACAACTTAATCATATTAAGAAAATTTCCTCAGCTTTTTTTGGTCAAGAACTAGTCTAAGTTTCTTTCATTTAGGCCGCATCACTATATGAATTATCGGCATACATATAACTAATTTCTACAGTGAAGCACAAGAAATGCAATTAGAAAGGTTGATATTAATAACAAAATTAGAAAGAAATAATAGCATATATAAAAAAAATTGAAAAACCTCTTCTTTGAGACGAGCATTTTCAAGGCGAAGTTGCTGTTCATCATAACCCATCTCTCCAAGCATGGCAGGACCTCCACAACTGGGGCACATAATACTGCGTAAAGCTGCTTGCAGCCGATAATTTTCATTCTTTAAGTTGTCATTCTCAGCTCTAAGTATAACATTATCTGCTCGGTCTTGTTGAGCCTACATCATTAATTAATTAATTAGTACTAGAATCAATTACAACAGAAGAAGAAACAAATTACAATTCCCCCAACACTTAATGAAGTCTTGTCCCTCACATAGTGTTACATCTTAATCACAGATGAATTCAGTGGGTGCAGAATTAGCATAATCTCATTTTATGTAAGCATTTTAAACGTTGTTTTTTCTTCTAACATTTGCATACATAAACACACAGAACCATTCCAAATTTGCCTTCAATAATAACATCCCTCATAATTAATTCAAGACTTACATACATACATACATACATACATTGTCAGGCGGAGCTAGTGTGTGAGATGCGGATTCTAATCACTTTGGTCGTAACTCTGTATTTATCTTCAAAAATCTATTTAATATGTAAAAATGATTAATTTAAAAAGGCTAGAAATCCGAACCATAAACTTTAAATTTTGCATATAATAAAAAGTCATTCTCTTTTTCATGTCCGTAACCCTAAACGGGTGCATTAAAGATGTGTCTCCTCATGGAAGTTCATTGTTGCAGAGGAGGGGGTTGACTGCGCACCCAACAACTAGGGCCAGACGCATATTAATGGAAGGCGTTGTCCATACAGTGAAAATGAAAGCAACCCCGTAGTTAATGCAGTCACTCTCTCTACAGCTCTCATGGTGGTGGTGCAGTACCCTACACTCTTTCTTCACCATATTTGGTCTTAGCAAATTTTAACGTATGTAAATAAACACACACACATAATTTATGGGAAATCGTGCATCTGCCTCTCATGCATGAAGGTTCAATTTAATTTTACAGCTGGAAAAACATTAGTAGGGTTTCCTCTTTACCGCGTAGCACAAAAAAAAGAAAAGAAAAAGAATTTATATACAATGACACTGTAAAAGATTTTACACTGAGAAGTTGGATTAGTTGGGTGATAGGGATGCTAACATGCCCACCTTCATTTGGGTTCGTCGGTTTTGAAACCAGAATTTGACTTGACGTGGTTTTAAGCCAAGGTCTTGGCTTAGTTTGAGCCTTTGCTTGTCATCTGGATGTGGGCATTCCTTAAATAACCTAAATATCAGGTAACTTTGTTAGAAAATTCAAAATAATAAATCAAAAAAATTTCCTCTAATCAAGATCTTGAAAGGAAAAGAAAAATTAAAGAAAATTGGTTTCTTACGCCTCCATTTCTTGGATCTGGCGAGCAGTGTGCCGATGATAACGCTTTTTTTTGCCCAGTTGTTGTTGCTGTTGTTGTTGTTGCTCAGTTTCTAGTTCATTTCCAGACATTCCTTCAATATGTTCACTTCCAGAACCACTATCCATTTCTTCTTTGCTTTTCAATAGTCCATTTTCTTCTTTCTAAAGGGACACAAAAGGAAAATGAAAATCATGCATGCAAGTGAAGGTAAAAATTAAAGATAAAAACTTACAGGAATAATATTGGGAGGAAAAATGTTGAAAGGCAAGTTATTTCCTCCCATGGCCATGAAGTTGAAATTAGGGTTCTGAATGGGGGAAGAATAGAGTGAGTCTGAAGATACAGCACTCCCTCCCATCCCCATGGATGAAAATAGTTGGCAATCACCGAACATCTTTCCTACTTAATTCCACAGGATTTACAAAAGAAGAATCTCTTTTAGACTAGGGTTTAGGGACCTGCAATAGAAAAAAAAACACATATGATAAAGTAAGAATCAAGGCCTAACACATAAAACTTAAAGAAAACAAAGCATGAGAAACACACCATTGAAGCTAAAGGGAAGAAATATCCATTAGATGAGACAAATTTTCTCCAAAACTAACAAAGAAAGCTAAGGCTAGACAAAAAATATGGAGTTGATGTTTTCTACACATAAATAGGAAAACTGAGACAAGAAGACTACATTTCAAAGTATTTGACTCCACCACCCTTCAAAAAGATAAAGAAATGGTCAGCTCCCTTTTTTTTAATACAAAAAAAGAAAAAGGAGCTCCATTAAAGCTCAAACCGAGTATTAAATTCGAATACATAAAAAAAATTAAAACAAAATGTGTAGGTAAACGAAGAGAATTGAATACCCAAAATTAATTTCCTATGTAATTAATGAAATGTGTGAGAGAAAAAAGAAACAAAGGAAACGTACTAATAAATATTTAGTACCTGTGTCGGTGTGTTTTTCCAAAACCAAATTCTTCTTCTTTATCTTTAGCTCTTTTCTTTCTTCATCTACCACCAAACCCTTCTGCAGTTTGGTTGTGTAGTTTTTTCTTATCTTTCAGTCTATATGTACAGTAAAATCTTGGGGTTTTTTTTTTTTTTTTTTTCAAAATTTGCTTTTTCCGTTTTATAAGGGCGGGAGTGAGTGTGTGGGTTGGAGGGTGAGGGGGTAAATGCGAGCTTTAAGTAGGGGGGTTGAAAAAGAAAGAAACCGATCCAACGCCTAGTGATTTGTGAGTCAGCTGTAACCAGGGGACACGTGGTCAATTATGATTGGAGGAATGACTGTTTCGCTGATCAAAAGTCAAACCTTTTTCACTGAGTTGAAACGCTTTGCTGTTTGTACGCGCGCGTGGTGCTACCTTCCTAACTTAGATGGTTTTTTGCTATTTTTTTTGTGAGACCAAAACGATAGTTTTTGCCATAATAAAAAGAAAATTAGAATTTGTAGTCCATTGTAATGGAGAATGTCGGTCAGTATAAGTTTTAGATAAATTTAATGGCCAAGTCTTAGGCAGAATCCATTGAGTGATGCATGCCTGGATCCCATTCTAAAGGTAGTACAAAGAAATCATTGGCGGACACAGAATTTTATGTAAGCGGATTCAGTCAAAAAAATATAATAGCGACTTGTATAAGCGACACCAATAAATAGAATTTGTTTACTACTCAGTTTTGTTTATCATGTGATCTCGAAATAAAGTCATTGATGCTCTTTTTTAATCAAAGTTGGAATTTTCTTAAACAAAAACTAATTAATTTTTAAAATCAGTATGATGGATGCTAAAGGTTTTGAATTCCCTTTCCCCAGAAGCTATTCTAAACCTTGAGCAGACCTAATAGAGTCTTGCGGATCGATACGGAGACGTCTGTACTTATCTTCGAGAGGCTATATGGTGTTAGGAAACTACCTTTCTTCAAATTCCATCGTGCAATTGATGTAGTACTAAATATCCTTCTCTTATTCTCTTACAGATGGTGAGAACACGCTCTAATGAGATTCCAGACCAGGGAAGAGCTACTCCCCCAGTTGCTAAAGGCCGAGGTAGAGGCCGAGGGAGGGTTCCAGGCCGTGGTAGAGGGCGAGGACATCCCAGGACCATTCCAGTTATGCCGCCAGTGGATCTAGCAGAGAATCCCATTATTGAGGAGCAGGGTGAGGTGCCTGTGGCAGAGCTAGCTCCGATGGACTTCACATCTGCACCGGGATTTCAGGATGTCATGGGTCGTATACTGCGATTCATGAACAATATGACTCAGGCCGGTTTATTTCCGGCAGACCCAGCCACATCTCAGGCGGGCAGGGGAGCATAGACCCCTACCGCGCAGGCTCATGGACAGGCAACTACTGTATATCAGACCCAGGGTGCACTACCCGTGGGTGGAGTCCAGCCAATGGCATCAGCTATACCTGAGCCCAGGCCAGCTGTAGTCACCGATCCTCAGAAACTATTGGACAGATGGACTAGACTACATCCTCCTGTCTTCGGGGGTGAGCGACCTGAGGATCCACAGGATTTCATTGATTGTTGCAAGGATAGATTGTACAACATGAGGATATTGGAATCCCATGGGGTTGATTTTGCTACTTTTCAGCTAGAGGGTAGGGCCCGCAGATGGTGGCAGTCTTATGCTCTTGGCAGACCAGCAGATGCTCCTCCCATGACTTGGGAGAGGTTCACTCGTATCTTCTTGGACAGGTATATTCCACCCTCCTAGAGGGAAGAGTTGCGATTTCAATTTGAGCAGCTCCAGCAGGGTCAAATGTCAGTGACTGATTATGAGGTGAGGTTTTCTGAATTATCTCGCCATGCACTAATAATACTCCCTTCTGAGGCGGAGAGAGTGTGAAGGTTTGTAGCCGGTTTACATACTGGTATTCAGGCCACTATGGCTCGAGAGGTTGAGATGGGTACTTCTTATGAACGAGTTGTTGAGATAGCCCGGAGGATTGAGGGTGTACGTCATCGAAGCCGAGAGCAGATTATGAGAGATAAGCGGTTTAGGTACTCTGGAGAGTTCAGAGGTGCTCCGTCCGGGGGCAGAGGTCAGTTCGTGAGGGGACAGTCCAGCAGACCCCCATATCTAGCACCACCACCTCCTCGAAGTGCTCCAGTGCGACCTTATCTCAGTGCTATCCCAGAGAGTTCTTACCGCCCACCAGCTATTCAGGGTCCTCCTAGTGGGTATTCAGGTCCCCAGGGACAGACACTTAGTCAGCAGCCCATCGCACCGAAGAGTTGTTACGAGTGCGGGGATCCTAGTCACATGCAGAGGTTTTGCCCCAGGCTTCAGGGTAGACCAGTACAGCAGGGTCAACAGCCTATGTTTACCGAACCAGTTGCTCCACCAGTAGTCCGACCACACAGAGGTGGAGGACAGGTGGGTAGGGGCCGTCCTAGGGGTGGAGGTCAACCAGGCGGAGGCCAGCCAGTTGGCGCTCCAGCTCGGTTCTATGCTTTTTTGGCTAGACCAGATGCAGAGGCCTCAGATGCTGTGATTACAGGTATTATTTCTATTTGTGGAAAAGATGACTCAGTATTATTTGATCTAGGATCTACGTATTCATATGTGTCATCTCTATTTGCTCCATTCTTGGGTGTTTCTCGTGAGTCCTTGAGTACTCCTGTTTATGTGTCCACTCCTGTGGGCGATTCTGTTGTTGTGAACCGGATCTACCGGTCCTGTATTATTACATTCTGTGGTTATGAAACTAGAGCAGATCTCCTA